GTCGCTAATTTAGGTACTCTGCACATTTTTGTAGTCACCAGCCCTATAATTACTATAGAACCAGTGGTGTAGTGGTGCCTGGAGAAGTGGGTATACTCTAATTTTGCCAAACATTTCCCAAACGGCCCGAATGACAAAGGAAAGGCGCCCTGTGTGAAGAATTATATGAGAAACACTAACCGCTTTTACATCCACAGTTTTTATGCGAGTAAAGTCATACCATATATTTTTTTAAGCACGGTAGTTTCGGTACAATTTTATAAATGCTGACAGATAATTTGTTCATTCGACATGGTGGGATCTTTTTGTGTCGGTAAAATGAATTAGGTGAGAAATGGTAGTGGAAACGCCTTAATGCGCAAATATTGATATAATAACCATCATATCGAAGTAAACTTGGATTCACATGATGATATGGTGTGTGGTCCTCCCACTATGACTCGGGAAACCATGCAGTTTATTAGGCTACAGATGAAATAAATTATGATGCACTTCGCAGGGTGGTGAAAGTGCACGGTGATTGATGCTCCTTTCCAATAAATATTGAGGGTCTTATTCTGGTGATCGATGCTTAACTGCCGTTTGACAAATTAAAATATTCTGACTCTTATCCATAATAATCTCATTATGTAGACTAGCCTACCAGCACAACCTACCCACACTATATCTGCCAGCTGTTGGCTAGAGCGCACATGCCAAGACCAGAGGAGGCACATTTGCTATTCAACGCAAACGTTTTTGCGTTGAATTTGCGTTGAATTTTTGCGCAATTGGATGGAAACCTAGCTTGTGACATACACTCTGAATGACCTAACATGCTAAATCCCATATTGGGTCTTTCACAGTCAGGCCAACCCAAGCTGTACTGTACAAGTAGGCTAATAGTTTCTGAATTGTCTATTTTTTTTAGGTTTTCCTAAAATAGAAAAACAACAAAATTGGATGTTCTAAGGACACAACAATGCTTAAACCACATCAGGAGACCAAAGTTAGATTTTTTTGTGTTAATTCAAGTGTGCTGGGGCCTCATTTATAACAGTTCCGTAAATTTCACACAAAATTTCTGCGTGCGCTATTTCTGAAAAGTCTACGCACGTACAAAAATATTTAGATGTATAAACTTGGCACATGCCATACATACGCATGATTCCCGTTATAAATCAGACCTTGAACAAGCATTAAAACCGCCTGGAAAAAGCCTCCATTCGTCTTTTATGGTGACAATAACGCCCTTTATTTGTTGTATAATTTGGAACTATTGGCATTATGCCACGGCATGCAAAAGACGAATTGTTGTTCAATATTTAGTTTATCAATAGATTATTGGGTTTTTACACTATATATACAAAAGTATGTGGACACCCCTTCGAATTAGTGGATTCGGCTATTTCAGCCACACCCGTTGTTGACAGGTGAAATCGAGCACACAGCCATGCAATCTCAATCTACAAATTGGCAGTAGAATGGCCTTACTGAAGAGCTTAGTGACTTTCAACGTGGCACTGTCATAGGATGTCACCTTTCCAACAAGTCAGTTCGTCAAATTACCATGTGCATCTCTCATTAAATTGAACCTAGTAACCTAGTAAATAGATAAGCTATATGTATCTCAAGTTTTACAATATCATAGGCAGCACGGTTTTATAATACCGGCATACAGTCGAATATAATAGTGTCGCGTATAGTAGGCCAGAAGGCTAAACTGAAAAACCTAACCTCTATCAAGTAAAATGATGGCGGAGCCGCAAAAGTACTTCCGTGCAAGGGTGTTTATTTACATCGTATAAACAGTGTAACTAAAATGCAATGTACAGTAGTAGAAATATTATAATGAGCTATGTCAAGAATAAATTATTTAAATACACAGTACAAAACCCCATGGCAAAATGGATAGAATTGCAAGAAATTATCTTCCGCACCAGATTCCGGAATATAAATATATATGTATGTGAATGTTGTGGACAGCAGTAGTTATATAGGATGAGCCATGACTAGAATACAGTATATACATTTAAAGTGGGTAAAACAGTATGTAAACATTATTAAACATAATTTTTGCTTACCTCAGCAGAGTATAGCAACTATCCAGCTCAACTAGAAGAAACCATACTAAGTAGTATGCTAGTATGGACATCCTAAGTGAATTTAATTGGTGTGCTAGCTAGATCCAACACAATGACACCAAATGTAGTATTTTGATCAACGTTGGTGTTAGTACTTCTCTTGACATGTCCGGCTGTCAGGTTATATGTCTGTGTCCCAAATTGCACCATATTTCCTATATAGTGCACTACTTTTGATCAGAGCCCTACACTACACTAAAAATGCTGGGATGTTTGGTTGGCCCAACTGCTGGGTTGCAGACGTTGGGTCACTTAGTTTTTTTTTTTTAATTAGCAAGGTTGGTTTTTGATGCTGGGTTATTTGTGCTGGCCAATTGAGATATGACCCAGCGGGTCAGGTCAGAAGACTGGAGGCAAAGTTTAGTAGGGCCGTGGCTTTCAGATAATTATTTTTAGCCACCCGTGAGAGTAAATGTAATTCCCGTTCATCTGGTCTGTTGTATGGTTATCACGTTAAGGTTGAACATTTACATTTTTGTAGCTTCAATGAGGCTTACATGCTGACCACACCGCTCGTGTTATGTACGCGAGCGTTGCAAAATAAATGTACACATACATGTTATTCAATAATTTCCTCCAAAATGCTTGCTTCAACAAGCGTCTGCGTAGCCAGGCGATAAAATAGAAATTGGTTCTATTTTTTATGATTGACCCGCTGCAAGTCCCGCCTCTCCCATCTCTTCATTGGTTTTTAGGAGCATATACCCAAGTGGGTGATTGAAAGCTGAACTGAGGTCCACACTACAGACCAGTTGGTGGTGGTAATGTGCCTTAAAGTTGGTTTCCAACTGCCATATAAAGTACAAAGAAGAAGACTGAAGGAGGATAGATTACTAGAAACTAACTAGGTTTACCCGTTTATCTGTGGATTAATTGTCAGAGTAGAGGACCTTGTGCATTTCAGGTAAAATAACAACCCGATGTTTATATCCCAGGACAAATTAGCTAGCAACAGCAAGCTAGCTAGCTAAATGGCCATGAATGTTTCATGCGTTTTGACCTGTCCCCAAATTAATATTGGTGGTTCAGAATTTGTTTTGATATTTCAACCTGCGCGTCCTGATCGCGTCTGGTGTGGATCGACAAAATCAACATGCGCGCGATGGTGGACGCACGCCCGTGCCCGGTCTAGTCAGCATGTTACAGAAGTGGATGAGTTCCCTAAAAGCCTTTGTAAATCCCATTGTTGTATACCTTATTATGCAATAAGTTGGCATACCTTATTATAATATGTAATAAATAATCATAATATTCTAGAAGATTGAGTAAAATACCCCCAAAATTAAGAAAATGTTAATTTGCAGTATGTAAACCTAACATGATGAACGGGAATGAAAGCCACACCCCTAATAAGCCATGCCTCCTGAAAATAACCTAAGGATTACATTCAAAAAGACCCAGCTGCTAGCTCAGCCCAGCATTAAAGTAACAAATACCCAAATTATGGTTAAATTACACCATGTAATCCCAACAACCCAACATTTTATTTTCTATTTTATTTTATCTTTATTTTATCAGGGAGGTCTCTTTTACAGATGAGCACTGAATTACAGAAATTACAGAAAATACACACATCAAAATATAAATACAAAATGCAAGCAGAAAGAAAGAAAAACATGGTCATAAAAAACAAACACATTCATCAGTAATAAGGTCCTCAATCAGCTTTCTGAATTGCCCTAAAGGCACCAAAACATCAAATTTAAGAACATTTTGAAGATTGTTCCACAAATAAGGTGCAAGAAAACTAAAATCTAATTTACCTAACTCAGTAGAGACCAAAGGAATTTCAAGAGTTAGCAATCCCTGAGACAGCGTGAAGTAACTCTTATGTCTAAAGTTTAGTAAAGATGTTGGGTACAGTGGGCCTTTTTGGAAAAGGGCTTTATAAATGGAAACATAGCAGTGCATCAACCAACGTGACATCAAAGAGGGCAAACTTTCTGGTAGAGAATACAATGATGAGTACTAAAATTGTCGCCCATAATAAAGCGCAGTGCGCTATGATAAACTGCATCTAACGGCTTTAATGAAGTGGCAGCTACGTTCATGTAGAGGATGTCACCATAGACTAGGACTGATAGGAACGTCGACTGAATAATCAGCTTTTTACTATTTAGTGAGAGGCAGGACCTATTTCTATTTCTACCCATTTTTATTCTCAGCTTCTTAGCTAACTCATCAGTATGCTTTTTAAAAGACAGCTTTTCATCTATCCAGATACCCAGATATTTGTAAGCAGGGACACGATCAATATGGACACCATCCAAAGTACATATGCTTAAATCATAAAAGTTATTTTTATGCGCTCTAGAGAACATACTTAGTTTGATCTGCATTCAATACTCATTTCAGGTCAATAAAGTTTTTCTGTAGTACCATGAAGGCAGACTGTAGTTCAGATAGAGCCTGGTCAACTGTGGGGGCAATAGCATACACAACAGTATCATCGCCTAAGGATTCAGCAATCAGGGTGGCAGAGAGCTGCAGTAAAAATGGATCAAGCAAATCAGACCCAGTGGATTTTCTTTTTACATCAATCTTAAGCAAGGCATCTAGAACATCACAGATAGTAAATTGTTGAAATGAAAACAAAGATTCACTACATGCTGGGTAGTAGTGAACACAACATGTTGGGTTATTTACACAGCCCAACTGACTGGGTCAAAATAACCTAGCATGTGTTCTGTCCAGTATCTACCAAATAACCTAAATTGGGTTGTTTTTAACCCAGCATTTTTTGAGTGGATGGGACTTGGTCAAAAGTAGTCACTAAATAGGGAATTTGGGACTCAGCCTAGGTGTGTAGCCTACATTCAAAATGAATGAAGAGATGAATGAATGACCTCTTTTCTTTTTTCCTTTGTCTTACTAGATCTGTCGGAGAAGAAGAGCGACCTACGAGTGTGTGACGACTCCAGCTGCCGTTTTGGAGGCGTCTGCAGGGATGACGGGGCCACGCTAAAGTGTGTGTGCCAGTTCCAGGTACGTGGTGTAGTTTCTGCCATATTTTGTGTGTGTGTGTGTGTGTGTACATGTTTCCCTACATTATTAGGATCTGAATGTCCTGACAAGTCACCAGAATGTCCTGACAAGTCACCAGAATGTCCTGACAAGGTATGAAAACTATATTTTTAAAAAGGTGGGACTTTTTCCATTTTTAGAATTAGTTAAAATGCTATTTTAGGCTTAAGGGTTAGGTTTAGGGTTTGGGTTTAGGGTTAGGGTTAGGAGTTAGGCTTAAGGGTTTTGGGGTTAAGATTAGGGTTAGGTTAAGGCTTAGGGAAAATAGGAGTTTGAATGGAGAGAGAAAATGGACTCCCAAAAAAATCCTGAAAATCCATGTAGAAAAAGCTGTGTATGTGTGCATGCACCTGCAGTGTGTGTATTTCTGTGTTGAAAAAAGTATGAATTATGTGCTTGGCAGAGGTGGGTAGAGTACTGAAAATCTGTACTTAAGTAAAGGTACTGTTACTTAGATTGTAATTTACTCAAGTAAAAGTAACCCTCTTAAGAAACTACTCAAGTAAGAGACCTTGGAATAATTTTTCTATTTCATTTCATGTAGAGGTGATGGTGAATGCGTACTGAAAATATTTACTCCAAGTGTGATGTTAAATTTTGTTTACTCAAAATGAAAGATCAAGGAGGATGTAAGCATTACATCAGTAAAACAACAACAAATATCAACATTTCACTATCAATAATGTTACTAGTATGCAAATCAGACAATTCAGCATGGAATGAAAGATCAAAGTAGGTATTCAGGTAAGAATCATGTAAGTAATAAATAATCAAACAGAGCATATATCAATTGCCATAGTCAACTCAATCATGTTACAAGTATGCAAATCATCAAGACACATTTTAGCATGGAATTAACATCGATGTACAGTACCAGTCAAAGGTTTGGACACACCGACTCATTCAAGGGTTTTTCTTTATTTTTTTTACTATTTTCTACATTGTAGAATAATAGTGAAGACATCAAAACTATGAAATAACACATGGAATCATGTAGTAACCAAAAAGAAGTGTTAAAAAAATAAAATGTATTTTAGATTTTAGATTCTTCAAAGTAGCAACCCTTTGCCTTGATGACAGCTTTGCACAATCTTGGCATTCTCTCAACCAGCTTTATGAGGAATGCTTTTCCAACAGTCTTGAAGGAGTTCCCACATATGATGAGTAATTGTTGGCTGCTTTTCCTTCACTCTGCTGTCCAACTCATCCCAAACATCTCAATTGGGTTGAGGTCGGGTGATTGTGGAAGCCAGGTCATCTGATGCAGCACTCCATCACTCTCCTTCTTGGTCGAATTCTAAATAAATCACAGAGAGTTTCACCAGCAAAGCACCCCCACACCATCACACCTCTTCCTCCATGCTTCACGGTGGGAACCACACATGCAGAGATCATCCGTTCACCTACTCTGCATCTTACAAAGACACGGCGGTTGGAACCAAAAATCTCAAATTTGGACTCATCAGACCAAAGGACAGATTTCCACCGTTCTAATATACAGTGAGGGAAAAAAGTATTTGATCCCCTGCTGATTTTGTATGTTTGCCCACTGACAAAGACATGATCAGTCTATAATTTTAATGGTAGGTTTATTTGAACAGTGAGAGACAGAATAACAACAACAAAAATCCAGAAAAACGCATGTCGAAAATGTTATAAATTGATTTGCATTTTAATGAGGGAAATAAGTATTTGACCCCTCTGCAAATCATGACTTAGTACTTGGTGGCAAAACCCTTGTTGGCAATCACAGAGGTCAGACGTTTCTTGTAGTTGGCCACCAGGTTTGCACACATCTCAGGAGGGATTTTGTCCCACTCCTCTTTGCAGATCTTCTCCAAGTAATTAAGGTTTTGAGGCTGACGTTTAGCAACTCGGACATTCAGCTCCCTCCACAGATTTTCTATGGGATTAAGGTCTGCAGACTGGCTAGGCCACTCCAGGACCTTAATGTGCTCTTCTTGAGCCACTCTGTTGCCTTGGCTGTGTGTTTTGGGTCATTGTCATGCTGGAATACCCATCCACGACCCATTTTCAATGCCCTGGCTGAGGGAAGGAGGTTCTCACCCAAGATTTGACGGTACATGGCCCCGTCCATCGTCCCTTTGATGCGGTGAAGTTGTCCTGTCCCCTTAGCAGAAAAACACCCCCAAAGCATAATGTTTCCACCTCCATGTTTGACGGTGGGGATGGTGTTCTTGGGGTCATAGGCAGCATTCCTCCTCCTCCAAACACGGTGAGTTGAGTTGATGCCAAAGAGCTCAATTTTGGTCTCATCTGACCACAACACTTTCACCCAGTTCTCCTCTGAATCATTCAGATGTGCATTGGCAAACTTCAGACGGGCCTGTATATGTGCTTTCTTGAGCAGGGGGACCTTGCGGGCGCTGCAGGATTTCAGTCCTTCACGGCGTAGTGTGTTACCAATTGTTTTCTTGGTGACTATGGTCCCAGCTGCCTTGAGATCATTGACAAGATCCTCCTGTGTAGTTCTGGGCTGATTCCTCACCGTTCTCATGATCATTGCAACTCCACGAGGTGAGATCTTGCATGGAGCCCCAGGCCGAGGGAGATTGACAGGTCTTTTGTGTTTCTTCCATTTGCGAATAATCGCACCAACTGTTGTCACCTTCTCACCAAGCTGCTTGGCGATGGTCTTGTAGCCCATTCCAGCCTTGTGTAGGTCTACAATCTTGTCCCTGACATCCTTGGTGAGCTCTTTGGTCTTGGCCATGGTGGAGAGTTTGGTATCTGATTGATTGATTGCTTCTGTGGACAGGTGTCTTTTATACAGGTAACAAACTGAGATTAGGAGCACTCCCTTTAAGAGTGTGCTCCTAATCTCAGCTCGTTGCCTGTATAAAAGACACCTGGGAGCCAGAAATCTTTCTGATTGAGAGGGGGTCAAATACTTATTTCCCTCACTAAAATGCAAATCAATTTATAACATTTTTGACATGTGTTTTTCTGGATTTTTTTGTTGTTATTCTGTCTCTCACTGTTCAAATAAACCTACCATTAAAATTATAGACTGATAATTTATTTGTCAGTGGGCAAACGTACAAAATCAGCAGGGGATCAAATACTTTTTTCCCTCACTGTACGTACATTGCTTGTGTTTCTTGGCCCAAGCAAGTCTCTTCTTCTTATTGGTGTCCTTTAGTAGTGGTTTCTTTGCAGCAATTCGACCATGAAGGCCTGATTCACACAGTCTCCTCTGAACAGTTTATGTTGAGATGTGTCTGTTACTTGAACTCTGTGAAGCATTTATTTGGGCTGCAATCTTAGGTGCAGTTAACTCTAATGAACTTATCCTCTGCAGCAGAGGTAACTCTGGGTCTTCCTGTCCTGTGGCGGTCCTCATGAGAGCCAGTTTCATCATAGCGCTTGATGGTTTTCGTGACTGCACTTCAAGAAACTTTCAAAGTTCTTGAAATGTTCCGGATTGACTGACCTTCATGTCTTAAAGTAATGATGGACTGTCACTTCTCTTTGCTTATTTGAGCTGTTCTTGCCATAATATGGACTTGGTCTTTTACCAAATAGGGCTATCTTCTGTATACCACCCCTACCTTGTCACAACACAACTGATTGGCTCAAACGCATTAACTTTAAGAAGGCACACCTGTTAATTGAAATGCATTCCAGGTGACTACCTCATGAAGCTGGTTGAGAGACTGCCAAGAGTGTGCAAAGCTGTCATCAAGGCAAAGGGTGGCTATTTGAAGAATCTCAAATATAAAATATATTTTGATTTGTCTTTTTTGGTTACTACATGTTTCCACATGTGTTATTTCATAGTTTTAATGTCTTCACTATTATTCTACAATGTAGAAAATATTAAAAATAAAGAAAAACCCTTGAATGAGTAGGTGTGTCCAAACTTTTGACTGGTACTGTAGGTATTCAGGTAACAATCATGTAAGCAATAAATAATCAAACAGTGCAGATATCAATTGCCACAGTGAGCTCCATCTTTTTCCTACCAAGGTACAAACCTCTCCTTTCCACTTTGAAGAGTCTTTTCTTTTCTTGGCTGGCCCATTTTCCTACCCCTCAGTTGTGCCACTACAAGCTGTAAATAAAAAGAAACACAAAACATGTTATTGCTAGTAGCTATAAGGCACAAAAAGCTTACTGCAGTGTTTCACTATATGACAGATGTGGCTTATATGCCTAGTCATAAAAACAGAATGACATTTTACACACACACACACCCCCCCACACCCACAGTGAAAGAGAGCAATGGAGTAGGAGGATTCTGCACTGGGCTGACCGATTGATCTAGCTAACATTAGTTAGCTAGCTTGCTAGCTAGCTACATGATTGACATTGCAGCTATCTTAGCCAGCTTATCTAGTGGGAACCTAATGTGATAGCTAGCTAGTTAGCTATTGGCCCACACATCTGATTAATCTGTTCACGCTACATGCCAATGACAAGGTGGCTAGTTAATTTAGCAAACAAACAGATCATATGGGGAACTAAAAACAGGAGATTAAACATTCTGTCAGATTCTGGGTTAGCCAAAGCAAACCAGCTAGCTAGTTAGCTACCTAGCCATTTAATTTGCACTCGCCCTCAAAACCCAATTTCAACAGCAGAATGATATCCGAAAAATACTTATCTTAATCCAGAAATATATAATATTACAAAGGCAGAAGATAATTAAAGTGCAACTGAACTCTGATCGCATTTGGCTAAGAACCCACGAACAAAAATCTCCTTAGGAGTGAAGACGTGTGCTTCACTTCAAGAGCTGTGGTGGAGATACGGGGTTTGACGGACAACTTTGAGAGCCAATGGACTTAAGAGTTTTGATGACAAGTTATTTTGAATACATTCCGTGAAACGTTCTTACAGACGTAAAGGAGAACCAATAGTATCAATTCATGTAAAACAAATGTATAATCACAACAGTCACTAGGTTTTCATTTGACAGCGATGATAGAATAATATAAATCTATGTAACAGAAGTGATTTGGTCAAATGTAACAGAGTAAAAAGTAAGTTACTTCCTTCAGAAAATACTTAAGTAAGAGTACAAGTACAGCCCACAGAGAGTAACTAGAAAAGTTCTAGTTCTTCCAAAAACGGACTTAAGTACATGTAAAGCGTTACTTGTTGTGCGTTACTACCCACCCCTGGTGCTTGGTATAGCTTCGAAGAGGAGTGCTGTTGTTTTTTCCCTCTAGTCTAGGTTGCTTTCTGTAGTCTGAGGTGGAATGAGAAGGCCGCCATATTTCTCTCTAATGTGACTGTAATTGCAACAGAAGGAGGACAGGTGTGTGTGTGTGTGAAGAGACCAGAATACCTTAGAGCGAGAGAGAGACGGAGATAGTCTAATGGGGAGACTGAGCAATAGCCTACAGTATGTCTTCAATTGGTCCTAGCCTGCAAAGCCTTTATGAAGCTTCCTAGATGTGACATGACATAGGTTATAAACATTCATGACGTTCCCTCATAATGAATGAGAGATGACTAGAATGTACAGGGCATTCGGAAAGTATTCAGACCCCTTGACTTTTTCCACATTTTGTTACGTTACAGCCTTATTCTGAAAAAATAAAAATAATAATAATAATAATCCTAATCAATCTACACACAATAGCCCATAATGACAAAGCAAAAACAGGTTTTTAGAAATGTTTGCAAATGTATTAAAAATTAAATATTACATTTACATAAGTATTCAGACCCTTTACTTTGTTGAAGCACCTTTGGCAATGATTACAGCCTCGAGTCTTCTTGGGTATGACTCTACAAGCTTGGTACACCTGTATTTGGGAAGTTTCTCCCATTTCTTCTCTGCAGATTCTCTCAAGCTCTGTCAGGTTGGATGGGAATGTCGCTGCACAGCTATTTTCAGGTCTCTCCAGAGATGTTCGATCGGGTTCAAGTCCGGGCTCTGGCAGGACCACTCAAGGACATTCAGAGACTTGTCCCGAAGCCACTCCTGCGTTGTCTTGGCTGTGTGCTTAGGGTCGTTGTCCTGTTGGAAGTTGAACCTTTGCCCCAGTCTGAGGTCCTGAGCGCTTTGGAGCAGGTTTTCATCAAGGATCTCTCTGTACTTTGCTCCGTTCATCTTTCCCTCGATCCTGACTAGTCTCCCAGTCCCTGCCACTGGAAAACATCCCCACAATATGATCCTGCCACCACCATGCTTCACCATAGGGATGGTTCCAGGTTTCCTCCAGACGTGACGAAGATTTCAATCTTGGTTTCATCAGACCAGAGAATCTTGTTTCTCATGGTCTGAGAGTTCTTTAGGTGCCTTTTTGCAAACTCCAAGCGGGCTGTCATGTGCGTTTTACTGAGGAGTGGCTTCCGTCTGGCCACTCTACCATAAAGGCCTGATTGGTGGGGTGCTGCAGAGATGGTTGTCCTTCTGGAAGGTTCTCTTATCTCCACAGAGGAACTCTGGAGCTCTGTCAGTGACCATCAGGTTATTGGTCACCTCCCTGACCAAGGTCCTTCTCCCCCGATTGCTCAGTTTGGCCAGGCGGCCAGGTCTAGGAAGATTCTTGGTAGTTTCAAACTTCTTCCCTTAAGAATGATGGAGGCCACTGTGTTCTTGGGGACCTTCAATGCTGCAGATTTATTTTGGCACACTTCCCCAGATCCATGCTGCAGAAATGATCTGTCTGCAAAATAGATCTGTGCCTCAACACAATCCTGTCTCGGTGCTCTACAGACAATTCCTTCGACCTCATGGCTTGGTTTTTGGTCTGACATGCACTGTCAACTGCGGGACCTTTATATAGACAGGTGTGTGCCTTTCCAAATAATGTCCAATCAATTGAATTGACCACAGGTGGAATCCAATCAAGTTGTACAAACATCTCAAGGATGAACAATGGAAACAGGATGCACCTGAGCTCAATTTCGAGTCTCATAGCAAAGGGTCTGAATACGTATGTAAATAAGGTATTTCAGTTTTTTATTTTAAATAAATTTGCAACAATTTCTAAAAACTTGTTTGCACTTTGACATTATGGGGTATTATGTGTAGATTGATGAGGATCTTAAAAAAAAAATCCATTTTAGAATAAGGCTGTAATGTAACAACATATGGAAAAAGGGAAGGGGTCTGAATACTTTCCGAATGCACTGTATATTTCTATTATGGCTATGGCAACACGATGACAGCTTGTGCATTAGCCAACTAGCTTACTACTATTTTACAACTACCTATTTCACATGTTCTTGTTGTGAAAGTACCTGCACTTTTATATTGCCTCTCTTTGCATTATATAGACACACTCACTTTTTTGTTTGGTTTTCTGTTTTTCATTTCAGTGTCACAAAAACTACATCCCTGTGTGTGGCTCCAATGGCGATACCTACCAGAATGAGTGCTACCGGAGACAGGCCTCCTGCAAACAGCAGAGGCTCATATCAAGGGTATCTGATGGGCCATGCTCTGCAGGTGAGTGTTTCCACTTCTACTTTACAATCAGAGAAATATAATTTGTTGAAGGAAAAATAAGAATTCCCCGAGACCACAGCAATTTGACTCACATGTCCACTGGTCAACCCATCACAGCCCAGAACAGAACATTCACTTGAATAGAAATGTCTGTTCTAGTAATTATATTTATATTATTACAATAACGTTCAATGGATATAGACTTGTTCAGTGCTGCAGTCTGATTGTCTACCTTTCACCCCGATGTGTGCACTCCTTCACTCATCTCGTGGATTTAAAAGGAACAGACTGGTGGAAGGAATATGGTAGGAACTCTTTCAGCGCTAGTTCTAGCGGACGCCAATCCAATTCGCTTTGTTCATGTGGGGGAGTGAGCAAGTGCATACTTCAGGGAGAAGTGTAGGGAATTAGAATGCAACCCAGGTGTTCTCAATCCTAGTCTTCAAGGGCAGCAGTGTCTACAGGGTTTCTGCTCTCCTCAATACTTTATTGATTTCATTGATTGGTTTGAGAATCCGCTCACCTGTGGTCCTCTGTAGCTCAGCTGGTAGAGCACGGCGCTTGTAACGCCAGGGTAGTGGGTTCGATCCCCGGGACCACCCATACACAAAAATGGATGCACGCATGACTGTAAGTCGCTTTGGATAAAAGCGTCTGCTAAATGGCATATTATTATTATTATTACCTGGTTTCTTAGGTCTAAATCAATTAGCAATTAAAGACAAAGATGGAAAGCAGCTGGTTCGGTTGGGGACACCTGTTGTCGAAATAACAATTTCAGAATAGGTGTGTTTACAAGTGCTAGTTATGTGCTTGTCATTCATCAGGGTACGGCTTTGAATAGGAAATATCTGACTGGTTCACCAGGTCTAAACCAGAAGCCATTCTGAGGCAGAAACAAAAGCCCTGCACGGATTGCCTACACACAAAAACACACACTCACACACAGACACGCACACTGGTTCATCTGTGCCTGCACTAAGACAGGTTTTCTCATCGAGTATCACAGACATCCCCTAAGACAGACACATTGTCATCACACATAGCAAAATTGCGAGAAACTTTGAGCAACAGTTTCCAGCTCGCGTCGTGGACCCAGTCTCTCGGGGCGGTGGCCTGATTTCCCTGGTGACGCACCGCAGTAGTGCACTCTTTTACGACCTACCGAGGGTTCTTGCTCCGCAATATGCCCTCTGCTTCCTTCCCCTCTCCTTGCTCAGTCCAATTTCCTCTTGCCTAGATTTATGCTTTCTGTCATTGAAGCGTTTGGCGGCTATGAGCCGACTGCCGAGGCAACACCATGAATACTAAGGGCCCTATTCACTATTTAGTGCACTACTTTTGACCAGAGCCCTATGGGACCTGGTCAAAAGTAATGCTCTATAAAGGGAAAAGGGTGCCATTTAGGATGCAGACATAGGGCTAAGCACTTGTTTTTTTATAGGGCTTTTTGCAGTAGTGGTAGAAGTGGTTACAGTAGTGTCCGTGTAGGATGAATAGGATGCCCTCCACTGTCCAAGAACACATTAAAAGGGGCATGAATAGAGGGAACATCATACATAGTTTATGATAAGCAATAAACATTTGCTGGGATGAGGGGGTCAAAATCGGTACCAAAATCGGTCAGAGTCAAGAAAGGGTGTGTCAGATGTGTCAGAATTAGGATAGGACAAAAAGTATTGTTTGGGTTACATAATATAATTAACATTCAGTATTGGAGTTAAAAACATTAATCAAACCCACACCAAGAAGTGTATCAATGTCAATGTTACTTAGGATCAAGTTTTTCACTCAGTAAATGTTAGCAACCTACAGTGGAACAGTATTTTTTTCTGCAGTATGGATTTGATTGAACTACAGTCAATGTTTTTGCAGTCGAGATTGGGCTGTGGTTTTGGGTTGAGTAAGCCTTGCAGCTGATCTATGGTAGGTTTTAGAGAATTTAGGTCTGGTCCCTCGGTTAAAAGTTTTCTTGAACTATGACTTTGCAAAGAGGTGCCGTAAAAGAAACCTGTGGTGAACTTTAATTGAACGATGCAGCCAATATCCATCTCCTAATGCAACAATACCATGCCAAAATCTTGGAAGCAAGTGTCCATTTCTTAATTCACGCATGCTATGCCAAGATTTGTGTTGCCAGGGTCCATTTCTTAATGCAACAACACTATGCCAAGAAGTATAGGGAAGCTGTCCTTAATACAATTGAACTTCAGAAGCAGTGTTTTTGAAGGGCATACACCGTATGTGGACTAGAATTGTGACAACGTCTTTCCTATCTTCACAGATACTGGCTCCGGCTCTGGAGATGGAGGTATGTGTTATACTCTATGGTTAATCCTGTGTTAAGCATATAAATAAGATACATTATAATATGTAATAAAGCATTGAAATAATCTGGACATACAGTAATTTGTTCTGTGACTTATATATGAGTGAAACATCCTTAAAGGCTTACAAAGATCCATTAAAGAGGCAGTACAGAACTTTTTCCTCCAGGGGTCTTGAGTCAAAAGGGGTCCCCCCCAAATGGTCTGAAATATTGCCCCAAAATGACCACATTGGACAAGAAACGGGCCCGCCTAAAACCAAGGATTGTGCGGTTTCACAAGTTAAGAATGAAGGTCATATGTGTACATGAACCATTTAGGCAAAATGTGAGGTAAACAATTAGCAAATAAACGTCCGTACTGCCTCTTTAACTTTAGCCCTTTTTGAAGATTTTTCCTCACACAACATCGAAGGGTGTACCAAGTCCTAGGAAGTACACAGACTTGATACACCAGGCACTTATTTCCTATTCTGTTCATGCTGAATGCTAATGCAGTCCCTTGACAATTGGTCAAGGAAATGACTATTTAGATTGCAGTTGAACTTTAAATCCCCCTGTTTATTCCCTACTTCTGAAAGCTTCCAACTCTCAGAGTTTGTCTCGGAATACATTTCAGACAATACACAACAAATTCCTTTAATGAATACTCAATCTGATTTTTGGATGATTTATGAATGAGGGTTACGCAAGCCAGTGAACCTCCCGGCTTTGTACACAGTCTATAAGCGAGCTGGAATATTAAGTCCCTAATAATGGTCTGAGAGAAAATGGCTGTTCGTTCCTCCCATTAACTTCTCCTCATGGAGGCATTGATATTTCACTATTTGGATATTCCATCTACAGACTATTTACAGACTATCATTGACATTTCAATTGCATGTCTTTAGCCTCTCAGTAGCATCTCAACAGTATATATCATCATTTTCAACCAGGTAGTATATAGTCCATCTATAGATGATCATCAAACCATCTGTAGACTATCAGCAGCATTTCAACAGCATATCTGTAGCCTGCCTGTCAGTAATATTTCAACAGTGTATCCCTTCACTTGCACAAATGCCAAGCCCATCGAGACATTTTGTGACCATCTGCATGTGGCGACCGCAGCGTTTGTTGTTTAATGTGACTGTTGGGGTTATAATTGGAAAGCAGTGACTGGGGACCCAATATCTCTACCATCTGCACAGGACTCAATAGACGTGCATAATCCCCTACAGGCGATTGGCTGAGCTGTTGATGATATCAATTATTAAAGTGCAATCGAGCTCTGATGCTTGTGTATCTGTCTGTGTGCTTTGGCTGTGTTTTGCTGTCCCCTTTGAACACGGTTGGGTATTCACAGTGGTTCTCTATGGGGATAGTGATTCTGTTCGTGGGTGTGTTCGTGTTTTTAATGTTGTTGTGTGGATGCTGTGTGTGTGTGTGTTTGGGTGTGGGTGTGTATAGCAATGGATGTGTGATTGCTGTGTGTGTGTTTGGGTGTGGGTGTGTATAGCAATAGATGTGTGATTGCTGTGTGTGTGTTTGGGTGTGGGTGTGTATAGCAATAGATGTGTGATTGCTGTGTGGGTGTTTGGGTGTGGGTGTGGATAGCAATGGATGTGTGATTGCTGTGAATGAGGATTGTCTGGTGTCTGTACCTATATGTATGTCATGGCTGTGTGTGTGTGTGTGTGTGTGTGTGTGTGTGTGTGTGTGTGTGTGTGTGTGTGTGTGTGTGTGTGTGTGTGTGTGTGTGTGTGTGTGTGTCTGCGTGCGTGCGTATGTGCGTGTGTGTATCAGAGGTGGTTGGTGGCACCTTCATTGTGTAGGACGGGCTCATAGTAATGGCTGGAACAGAATAAATGGAATGGTACCATGTGTTAGATACCATTCCATTTACTCCATTCCAGCCATTGTTGTGAGCTGTGCTCCCCCTGACCAGCCTCATGTGGTGTGTGTGTTTCTGTGTGTGTGTGTGTTTCTGGGTGTATGTGTGTGTGAGCGAGAGAGAGAGAGAGCGAGCGAGCGAGTGAGAGAACTGAGAACAGAATGTTTGGTACACTCAGCCTTTGTGTGTGCCTCTGTGGATGGTTCATGGCTACTGTGTGTTTGCGCACAAGTGTAGGCGTGTTGTAATAATGTATAAAGGTGGATAGAAGGTAACACGTACACTGGCATTGATTGAGTGGGGATGCACAGTGAGGTACTGTACAGCTGTTTCCATGGAATGGAAGGTTGTCAACAATGTGAAAGGGTTATTGTGGGGTGGTAGGGTTGTGTTCATTTTAGGTGTATAATATCCTGCTTTGGCAAAGCACACAAATCTAATCAAAACAAGGACTGGCTTACTGACTGTGATAAAGCTAATATATTCTATCTAGAGAATAGGGAATGGCTGTTTGTTTGGGAAGACTGCTGGATGTGGCCTTACATCCGTTAAACCCAAGGATACAAATAATATTCACGTCTCTGTTTTATCACACAAGTAATGTATATGAATCGAATCTGTAATAATGGGCTAACATTTAAGGGGAAATCTGGGATTTCTACATCCTTTTTAGGGCTGTTAAAGTAATGATATAGCCTACTGTATATAACGCAATTTATTCTTGAAGAATATAACGTATAAATGCCTCATGAGCTTTTATTGTGGTACATATAGTTTCTTGGGTAATGCTGACAAAATCCGGTGACACAGGTTAACCTAGCCTAGTAGCAACAACAAAGCCTTAGCAGATCTTTCTCTATTGATCCTGTGTCCTCCCGACTAAGCACCACAGCCAATACAAGCATAAACAGCAGGCCAATCTGTCAGTACAGAGCGATAACCCACATTCCCCCCACCGCCCAGGTTTATTGCATTTGATCAAATATGGGTTAATTGTAATCCGCTTTGATAGTGGTGGGCGTTTTTTTACATTAGGAAATTACACCGGATGAATCCCTAAACGGCCCTCGATGAATACAGACCCAATCATCTGCACACAGATGCTAATGATACCTCAACTCATTGATATCTGAATTTGATTGTTATTGCCTTGTCCGTAGTGAATCCTCTGCTCTCCACTGGAAAACCACTACTCCACTGCCAGATAATAGTAACGCATCACTATAATTCCAAAATGCCCTGTTTTGTCTTGATTATCATGGTTTGTTTTCACTGTCATTGTATAAATCCCTTTTCTCATACAAGCTGACGCAATAGAACGTGTGAGTCACTGGTGTCTTATTTTCCATATCCGTCTCCTGTAATGATAGTGAATTTAGGCAGAGCGGTTGATGTGAAGTGCTTTGTATCCATTGCAATGGTATGATTATGTTCAGTGGGAAAGAAATTGATCTCAATGAATCAAGAATGTATCCCTGGGAAAGAATGCACTGAACTGAAAGTGAAAGTGGGGAACAGAATGAAGCAATGGTAATGAAACAGACCTGGTATAGAGGGACATGGAGATACACGATGAAATGGGGAGAAATGCAACAGAAGGAGAATTTCTGGTACAAATGAAAGGGAACTTTGTTACTGAAAATATAAAATAGAAGAATGAGAAGACGAAAGGGACAGAAAGTCTTGGAACCAAATTCATTAAACAGAGAGAAAAAAAATCATGACAGCTGTGATGGAAACAGGAAGTTTCGGTACAATTGTATAAATGACGATAGATCGTTTGTTTGTTCTTGTTCGTTCGACACGTTGGGATCTTTTTGTGTCGGTAAAATGTATTATGCGAGAAATGGCGGTGGAAATGCCTTTATGCGCAACTATTGATATAATCACCATCATATCGAATTAAGCTTGGAGTCACGCAATGATATGGTGTGTGTCGCCAATTGGATGGAAACCTAGTTAATGATACAGACATGAATGATACAGTAATGAAAAACCTTAGGCACTGAAAAGATTTGATTAGGAATATGGCAAACATCCTACTTGCCTATCAGAGGGCAAGGTGAAGCTACTACCATGCCTAATTATTTTGGCTCTACATGAAGTGACAAGGGGCTAGGGGTTGCTTCTAGACTGAGCCATTGCCTGAGCAAGGGAGAGTAGAATGGGAATAAGTAAGCCATGGTTCAGGATGCTGTGAAACAGAAAACTATGAATGAAACCCAAATAGCAGGTAACACTGTTTTGCATGTCCACTCTGCTCTTCCAGAATACGAAGGCTCAGGCACAGACGTGGGGAAGAAGTTCACAAAGTGCGGCACGTGCAAGTATGGAGCAGAATGCGACGAGGACTCTGAGGATGTTTGGTGAGTTTCTGTAAAATAGTAACTATCTCATCTAATATATTTTTCATATCATACAATAGGTCATAGAATATTGAACTTAGGCATTGATGAGTTGTCTCTGGCCTCATTGTAGGACCAACAATATTAAACACATTGTCATTATAATCTAAAATACATTTTACATTTCAATACTGTATCATACTGCATTAACATACAGTATTAGTATCATGCAGTGCCATCATACATAATCACCCTGTAAACATACACGTCCAAGAGATCTTCCTAATATACTGTAGTCGACGCTGATGGATGAAGACTAGTAGTTTAGGGTTACAAATTTTATATTTTTCTGTCAGGTGCATATGTAACATTGACTGCAGCGGACACAATGAGAACCCTGTGTGCGCCACGGACGGAAACTCCTACAACAACCCCTGTCTGGTCCGAGAGGCCTCATGCATGAAGCAGGAGCAGATCGACGTCAAGCACCTTGGGAGATGCCCAGGTGAGACTGAGCACTATGCTGTGCAACTAGTAAAACTGGTTTACTGCTTGTAAAACATTATTTTTTGGGGGTGGGGGGGGCAAATTCACAACCTACTGTACACAACTGGGTTGAAATGGCGTACTTTTATAACTCACCAAGGTTATGGCGCAGCTTTTCAAAGCCCAGCAAGACCAGATGAGGGGATTTTCCCATTTTGATTCAATAAAAAAGTGATAAATACCATCAACCGGCAGTTTTATCTGTGGTACACAGGCCAACGAACCTTCAGTATCTTTACCATGTTGGCTCGTATTGGGGTCAGAGATCAAACCATTTCTAGAGGGAGAAGAAACATCCCGTTCCCTGAGGGGGGAAGGTTCCTCACAACTTTGGAATGTGGTCTCAGAGACTGTGTTCATGCTAGCTAGCCGGATGCTAGCCGGATGCTAGTTGTCCCCCACGATGAAATCGGAGGGGGGACTATGGATCTGTCTCCGTCTGTACGTTAGTCAAACGCGATTCTCAGACACCACTGGCCGAAACGTGGGTGAATGATGCATAATCAACTGAAGTTCCAAACTCTGAACAAGCATAGCTCCTGTCCCATTTACTGTTGCCTTGTTTCACACTGAAATGGCTGTTTATGTTAGCATTATTCTAGTGTCAATCTCTTACCCAAAGTCTTTATTTACACTGGGAACAAACTGCCCCAGTCTATTTGGGCCAAACCTACAGTATACAGCTAGCCTCCATTATTATGGTAGACACCATAGGAAGCTAGCCATATTAGGGCTCGGCCAATCCCTCACTTTAAACAGTATGTTCGCATTTTAGGCAACCACTTAAGTCTCTCTGGGAAGTATAATTACACTAGCTCCAGGAACAATACTGTTAGCTTCACTCATCTCACCTGGAGACTTTCTTACACCAACCATATGCTAGTACAAATGCTAGCTAACCCTATGCTAGTTTACCCCAAAAACCGTAGTCCCATTGTATTCTCATCACACAAGTTACACAAAGTTACAAGTCACACTTGACACAAAGCTGTGGTAATGCTAGGCCCCGTTTCCCCTCGTAGAGTCCTTCATGCCCGCCTGATTGAAGCTCGCAGCCAGATAAGCCTTACCAAGCAGACACCTGTCGTCAGCGCTGAGCCGGCCGATCAGTCATGCAAATCAATGAGCACTAGGCAAGCATATCAAAGCCTCCGAAGTCAGTAAACAAACACACAAGCCCTGACCGGCGCCTCAAAAGGAATAACATTTATTTATACTCCCCCACCGCCATTCCAAACCCCTGTCACGTCGAACCTTCCCAGAATTCAATTTACTCAGCCATGATTGAAGCTCGCTTCTTCAGAGGCATCTTTAGAGGGGGGAAAAGCTCAAATTAGTTATCCCAGGTCACGGTATGAGAAGTTTTGATCAAGCCACTGCTGGATGACGTTTTGGGGGGAAGGGCTCATTTGTAGTCCTGTGTTGAGCATCTGATTGAGGCTGTCTGTATTGCCAGGAGGGAGGGGTTTGCATTTTGCGGACTATTCCATTGGTTCCATTGTGCCAGGCATGCTCAATCAATCCCAGGTCAATTATTTGAATGAAAAGATAATATTATTTGGAACCTGGTTTGCAAATGTCAGGCACAGCTATGACAAAGCTACTGATTGCCTCTGTGGGAGAGAAGTCTAAGCGACAGTGTGCCCTGCAGGGCCTGGGAGGAGGAGCAACAGACCAATTTTCTAGGATCACGCCGGGTTCCTTCACACAAACAGGGATTAAGATATTTTGTGACGCTCGAAACCCCATATGCCAAATGTCATCGCAGTATCAATGAATATTTTCCCCATGATTTTATTTTAGCAGATTCATTTGTTCAACCACAGTGTCATTGATTAGAGTCGATACATATTTGATCATATTTAAATTCCTTTAGGTTGTGCACTAACTCAAGGGTTAGTAAACTCGACAGCTTCAAAATAAAGCACAAGCATTTGCTTGCAGGTGGCACTACATATTTAACCACTGTTGCATGTTAGATTTTACACATCAAAGCAACAGCAAGGTAAATCTGTAGCTATCTCAGTAATCCTACATCTCGCAGCAATTCTTTCATAATCAGGCCCACACTTTTTTAGGTTAAAACAACAGGGATTATCCCTCTAGAATGTTCTACAACCACTGACTTCCCACTGTGGCTAGATTGTGAGCCACTACACAGTGCAACATCAAAAACAAACACGAAAGAAAGAAGCACTATCAATATTTCCCGAGGAAGGATAGAATATAAAAAATGGATGAGTGTATGTGCCACTGTGTTTACTTATTCACAGCCCCACACCTCTCTATTGCTCTTTTCCTCTCATCTTCCTGTTTAGCATGCACCCCACCAACTGATCTCGTCTGCGGGCCATTGCAACAAGACGAGAGCGGCGTTGTGTCAAGCCAGCGTTAGCTGTCGACTGTTTTGTATGATAGGAAAACACAGAGACAAATATTGACACACAGACACATACACAGACACACCACAATCACACACACTGTCAACAGTGGCGCAGTGGTCTAAGGCACTGCATCGCAGTGCTAACTGTGCCACTAGAGATCCTGGTTCGAATCCAGGCTCTGTCGCCGCCGGCCACGACCGGGAGACTCATGGGCGGCGCACAATTGGCCCAGCATCGTCCAGGGTAGGGGAGGGAATGGCCGGCAGGGATGTAGCTCAGTTGATAGAGCATGGCGTTTGCAACGCCAGGGTTGTGGGTTCGATTCCCACGGGGGGCCAGTATAAAAAAAATATGTATTCACTAACTGTAAGTCGCTCTGGATAAGAGCGTCTGCTAAATGACTAAAATGTAAATGTAACAGGCACAACTCCCTGCACTCGCTGTCCCAGACCGGACTCACCTCGCTTTCGAAAAGGCCCGTAACACATACATAGACCTCTCTACGCCTCCGTTCTGACAGATAGATACCCCCCTTCAGACAGAGAGCAAATATCCCCCACTTCCTTCGAAACCCTGGGAAATAATTATCCTCCAAACATCCACGAAGAGAAACAGTCTCAGCCAGTTTGTTTGTTTGAGACAAATCTGTAGCCAGACAGATGGACAGGACCTGCCTCCAGCTGTCTCTCATATTGACAGATAAACAGGTAGAAAGACAGAGACTGACAAGCAGACACAGACAGACAGGCAGACAGACAAACAGGCAGGCAGGCAGATAGGCAGACATACAGTGGGGAGAACAAGTATTTGATACACTGCCCGATTTTGCAGGTTTTCCAACTTACAAAGCATGTAGAGGTCTGTAATTGTTATCATAGGTACACTTCAACTGTGAGAGACGGAATCTAAAACAAAAATCCAGAAAATCACATTGTATGATTTTTAAGTAATTAATTTGCATTTTATTGCATGACATAAGTATTTGATACATCAGAAAAGCAGAACTTAATATTTGGTACAGAAACCTTTGTTTGCAATTACAGAGATCATACGTTTCCTGTAGGTCTTGACCAGGTTTGCACACACTGCAGCAGGGATTTTGGCCCACTCCTCCATACAGACCTTCTCCAGATCCTTCAGGTTTCGGGGCTGTCGCTGGGCAATATGGACTTTCAGCTCCCTCCAAAGATTTTCTATTGGGATCAGGTCTGGAGATTGGCTAGGCCACTCCAGGACCTTGAGATGCTTCTTACGGAGCCACTCCTTAGTTGCCCTGGCTGTGTGTTTCGGGTCGTTGTCATGCTGGAAGACCCAGCCACGACCCATCTTCAATGCTCTTACTGAGGGAAGGAGGTTGTTGGCCAAGATCTCGCGATACATGGCCCCATCCATCCTCCCCTCAATACGGTGCAGTCGTCCTGTCCCCTTTGCAGAAAAGCATCCCCAAAGAATGATGTTTCCACCTCCATGCTTCACGGTTGGGATGGTGTTCTTGGTGTTGTACTCATCCTTCTTCTTCCTCCAAACACGGCGAGTGGAGTTTAGACCAAAAAGCTCTATTTTTGTCTCATCAGACCACATGACCTTCTCCCATTCCTCCTCTGGATCATCCAGATGGTCATTGGCAAACTTCAGACGGGCCTGGACATGCGTTGGCTTGAGCAGGGGGACATTGCGTGCGCTGCAGGATTTTAATCCATGACGGCGTAGTGTGTTACTAATGGTTTTCTTTGAGACTGTGGTCCCAGCTCTCTTCATGTCATTGACCAGGTCCTGCCGTGTAGTTCTGGGCTGATCCCTCACCTTCCTCATGATCATTGATGCCCCACGAGGTGAGATCTTGCATGGAGCCCCAGACCGAGGGTGATTGACCATCATCTTGAACTTCTTCAATTTTCTAACAATTGCGCCAACAGTTGTTGCCTTCTCACCAAGCTGCTTGCCTATTGTCCTGTAGCCCATCCCAGCCTTGTGCAGGTCTACAATTTTATCCCTGAGGTCCTTACAGAGCTCTCTGGTCTTGGCCATTGTGGAGAGGTTGGAGTCTGTTTGATTGAGTGTGTGGACAGGTGTCTTTTATACAGGTAACGAGTTCAAACAGGTGCAGTTAATACAGGTAATGAGTGGAGAACAGGAGGGCTTCTTAATGAAAAACTAACAGGTCTGTGCGAGCCGGAATTCTTACTGGTTGGTAGGTGATCAAATACTTATGTCATGCAATAAAATGCAAATTATTTACTTTAAAATCATACAATGTGATTTTCTGGATTTTTGTTTTAGATTCTGTCTCTCACAGTTGAAGTATACTTATGATAAAAATTACAGACCTCTACATGCTTTGTAAGTAGGAAAACCTGCAATATCGGCAGTGTATCAAATACTTGTTCTCCCCACTGTATATGTATGTGTGTGTATTATATGCATGTGTGAATGTGTGTGTGTGAGAGAGTGCTTCAATTTATCTTGTCTTATTTCTAACAGCAGATAAAGACAAAATGGGGAAGAAAGATGACGGCAGTTCGTACAAGCCTGATCTTTTAGGTAAGCATATTTTCAATTGACTTTATTTTTATCTACCTGTCATTGTGTTTCAATTGTTGATTCATGTAGGAGCATTGAAGTCGTAATCCCACTATAAAGCTACAGTAGATAAGCGCTTGGAAGCTTGTATGATTCGGCAAACATACTGTAATACAGTATACCAAAACACCAAATTACACCACTTCACTTCAACTTACTGTAGCACAGAAGCAGATCAAAACAAGAACAAAGATAAAACATAATTCAAAAAGCACCCATGACTATTTTCCATTTATTCATTTTGTGCATTGCTATTTTAATCAACTCAATCTCTCTTGGGAACAATTCCCATAAAGCTTTGAGCATTTTGAATCAATGGCTTCAGTGCTGATGCAATTCATAATGCTGTGCAAAAAATTGTTCTTAACGAGAGGGAATCGACAAAAAACGAGCATGTGATGTCATCACATATCATTACCGCAAATGCCATTCTCTCCTTATTTCTTGGGAATGTTTGTTTTCATTTGAAGGTTTAGTCGTTTATTTGATTTTGATGTACACATTCGCAGCTGAAAGCTAAATTGCTGTACACACAGTAGTTTACATGGCCTAAACCGAAATACAGTGTTCAAAAGAAGTCTACAAATAATTAAGCTATTCCTAGGAATAGTTTTACAAAGTTACTTGGGTTATGTTTTTTCTTCTAAAATCCTATTTCTCAGACACAGCAGACCCAGGGGATGGCTTCTACGCTGGGATGCCCATCCCCTGTGCGGAGAGCTACGCTGGCTTCTGTGTACACGGGAAATGCGAGATCAAGTACAACATGGCCACCTGCAGGTCCGTCTCATATCTGTCATGGCACCTCCTTTCCTTTCTTCTTTCCCTCTTTCACATTCACACGCTGTAGGCAGATCGCTGACGGGCGTCTAGCTGTTTAGATACAGTATGAAATGGTCTGATAATCTGTATGTCATGTGGCTGTCATAAATGGAAGGGTCAGATCATTTTGTTTATAATAGTAATAGGGCATTGTACAGCATTCCTGGTCTTAATGTAAATTTTTTCATCATGGCTCTGTCTCCTTGTGATGTCGCCAACAGGTGCGACTCGGGCTACAAGGGGGCGCAGTGCGAGGAGCCCCAGGACTTCAACATCCTGTATGTGGTGCCCAGCGGCCAGAAGCTCCACTACGTCCTCATCGCCGCCATCATTGGCGCCGTGCAGATCGCCATCATCGTTGCCGTGGTGATGTGCATCATGAGGTAAGCGGCTAGGTGTCACACCTCTCACAGAGGTGTGATGTTTCTGTCTTTCACGTTGTCAACAAGTTCAGCGAAGGAGAGGATTGAAAATAACGCAAGGCTTGAGGTGTGAGTGGCTTAAAGCCAAGGAAGCCGACCGTATGTGTGACTGACCAGGGTTTAAACCTGGGTCTCCAGCGTGGCACAGGACTGTTAGTCCACTGAGCTAAAGCCTAGGTGTTCAAGTCTCAGGCAAGGTTACTCATCACATGAGAGTAATTCCGTGGAGTAGGTGTATGGATGCTAAGAAATAACATTTGGATCAAAGGCAATCAATTAATTTACTGTCTAGTTTTATGAAGTTATTCAGTGCTTAGAAGATAATATAATATTAATGTGTGTGGGGAAAGTTAATCTTTCCTAGCAGACAGTTAAACAAATCATCCATCATTAAACGAAACCACATAAATCTCTCATAGCTTAGTTTTAAGCACTGACTTAGAATCTGAGGCTCAAAACGAATTTCCTTTTTTGTACTTACAGGAAATGCCCGAAAAACAACAGGGGCCGTCGACAAAAGCAAAACCTCGGACACTTCTCATCAGACACTAACTCCAGGATGGTATAGCTCGTGTTTTTGAATAGGTTTTTCTTACAACGTGGAATACGATTTTTTTTATGTAAGATGTGTCATTTTATTATTTTATTCTTCCTGTTAAACAAAAATAGAAGAATGAGGATATTTATTTCAGGGACTTTTCTGTTTCTCTGGTGGATATGTAGCGTATCTCGCAGCGCTATTTTTACATTTTTCAAACATCCACAGACTGGTATGAGGAAACCGTCGACCAAGCCGCTCGTAGCTTGACCTTTTTATCTGCATTTTTGTTTAGTTTTTTTTATTTATTCCTGTTTATTTCTTTTTGATTTTTTCGATAATACGGTACCTTCGGCGATCTGGAAAATGAATCCAAAGGAAACATAAACAACGTCTGTCTATATGGAATGTGCTACGCATTGGAAACAATTATTTCTAAGCCCCTCTCTCTCTCTATCTCGTTTTACAAATGATGTGCAGCTGATCACCAAAATGCAGTTTTTATTTATTGGGTGAGGGGTCAGCCAGCAAGGTGGATAATATGTTTACACTTATTCTTTGATATGTAATTACAATTTTAAAGAATACACTGTTTTAACTAGCTAATCATTTATTTTTTGAATTTGATCAATGCTTACGTTTTTTACGTTAACATTATTATTACGAGGATTCTTTTTCTAATTCTAGTTACTGTACTGTATATCGCATGACTTGTGAAACTGTGTTCTTTGGTGTAGTTTTAACTTAAAGAAAATATGACACGTCTCCAAGCTTTCATCTCAGAAGCTCTACCAGTCCGATTATTCCAGCACATGATGATAGGCATCCATGTAAAATAGAATTCGGGTGGTAGATTGATAGATTTGTCAGTGAAAAAAAAGGAATGTGTAATGTTTCAAATAAGTCTCCTGTCAGTCTTCTCAAACCAGTCATACTGGGTTACATCAAAGTACCTATGACTGGAGTTTTACTTTGATGGTGGAGACATGAAAGTGGATTGTAATGCGTTGAGGCAGATTTTTTTTTTTTTACTGTCTTACAATCACAGGATTGTAATGAAAGAGCTGTTGACTTTGGGGGAGCAGTGGTATTTAATGTAATGATACAAAATGAAGGACTACACATTGAGATACTACTATCATCCCTTTACGATACTTTCATGTAATTAGAAACGTATTGGTTGCCGAAATGGATGTACATTTACATTTTCGTCATTTAGCAGACGCTCTTATCCAGAGCGACTTACAAATTGGTAAACAAGGGTTTTCTTTGAATGTGAGGATATAATGCTGTTGTTGTTCCTCCACAAAACTTTACTTACATTTGCTCCTCAGCAAGACATTCCAAATACAGAGAAAATGTTGAATGGATGAATGAATAGGTGGAAATAGAACACTTCCGAGGTCCAAAGTGTAATACTTAACCACCAGTTTAAGTAGTAATTTTTTTCATCACTGGGGCCTTTATGTAAATGTCTTTAGTCTGCCTTCATCTGGTTGTAGGTCTTTGAGCAAAGTGTTTCAATTTGTTGTTTACCATCTCAGCCGTGACTCTATAAATGTGACTAGAATGTGTTTGACATGTCGTTGATCTTCTGCATGTAGGACTTTATAGGCAATTTTTGTCCCCAAAAAATAAAATGGAAATGTTTTTTTATGTATCATGTCATGGTTTGGAATGCGTCATTTGGAATTAAATGTTCCTGTTTTACTACACTGTCATCCCTCAACAGAGAGGGATGGGTAAAAGTATGGCGTCAAATCAGCTTCTAAAGTCCATTGCGTGCGAGACAGCGCTGTCGAGCAAGATGAGACATAATTGAGCAAGCAAGCACTGAGTAGAGAGCGCAGAGGATGGATCAAGAGAACAGAGGATGTGTCCCGCGAGCAGACAGGCCACGGGTCGAGCAGAACATCATTGCTGCAGTTCAAAAAGAAAAATGTATGAATAAATAAATACAGAACTGTTGGCCTCCCAAGTGGCGCAGCGTTCTAAGGCACTTTGGTCGCCAGTTGTACGGTGTTTCCTCTGACCCATTGGTGCGGCTGGCTTCCGGGTTAAGCGAGCAGTGCGCCTTGGCAGGATCGTGTTTCGGAGGACCCATGGCTCTTGACCTTCGCCTCTCCCGAGTCTGTACGGGAGTTGCAGCGATGGAACATGACTGTAACTACCAATTGGGGAGAAAAAGGGGTAAAATTATTTATATATATATATATACACTGCTCAAAAAAATAAAGGGAACACTTAAACAACACATCCTAGATCTGAATGAATGAAATAATCTTATTAAAAACGTTTTTCTTTACATAGTTGAATGTGCTGACAACAAAATCACACAAAAATTATCAATGGAAATCAAATTTATCAACCCATGGAGGTCTGGATTTGGAGTCACCCTCAAAATTAAAGTGGAAAACCACACTACAGGCTGATCCAACGTTGATGTAATGTCCTTAAAACAAGTCAAAATGAGGCTCAGTAGTGTGTGTGGCCTCCACGTGCCTGTATGACCTCCCTACAACGCCTGGGCATGCTCCTGATGAGGTGGCGGATGGTCTCCTGAGGGATCTCCTCCCAGACCTGGACTAAAGCATCCGCCAACTCCTGGACAGTCTGTGGTGCAACATGGCGTTGGTGGATGGAGCGAGACATGATGTCCCAGATGTGCTCAATTGGATTCAGGTCTGGGGAATGGGCGGGCCAGTCCATAGCATCAATGCCTTCCTTTTGCAGGAACTGCTGACACACTCCAGCCACATGAGGTTTAGCATTGTCTTGCATTAGGAGGAACACAGGGCCAACCGCACCAGCATATGGTCTCACAAGGGGTCTGAGGATCTCATCTCGGTACCTAATGGCAGTCAGGCTACCTCTGGCGAGCACATGGAGGGCTGTGCGGCCCCCCAAAGAAATGCCACCCCACACCATGACTGACCCGCCGCCAAACCGGTCATGCTGGAGGATGTTGCAGGCAGCAGAACGTTCTCCACGGCGTCTCCAGACTCTGTCACGTCTGTCACATGTGCTCAGTGTGAACCTGCTTTCATCTGTGAAGAGCACAGGGCGCCAGTGGCGAATTTGCCAATCTTGGTGTTCTCTGGCAAATGCCAAACGTCCTGCACGGTGTTGGGCTGTAAGCACAACCATCACCTGTGGACGTCGTGCCCTCATACCACCCTCATGGAGTCTGTTTCTGACCGTTTGAGCAGACACATGCACATTTGTGGCCTGCTGGAGGTCATTTTGCAGGGCTCTGGCAGTGCTCCTCCTGCTCCTCCTTGCACAAAGGCGGCGGTAGCGGTCCTGCTGCTGGGTTGTTACCCTCCTACGTTCTCCTCCACGTCTCCTGATGTACTGGCCTGTCTCCTGGTAGCGCCTCCATGCTCTGGACACTACGCTGACAGACACAGCAAACCTTCTTGCAACAGCTCGCATTGATGTGCCATCCTGGATGAGCTGCACTACCTGAGCCACTTGTGTGGGTTGTAGACTCCGTCTCATGCTACCACTAGAGTGAAAGCACCGCCAGCATTCAAAAGTGACCAAAACATCAGCCAGGAAGCATAGGAACTGAGAAGTGGTCTGTGGTCACCACCTGCAGAACCACTTCTTTATTGGGGGTGTCTTGCTAATTGCCTATAATTTCCACCTGTTGTCTATTCCATTTGCACAACAGCATGTGAAATGTATTCTCAATCAGTGTTGCTTCCTAAGTGGACAGTTTGATTTCACAGAAGTGTGATTGACTTGGAGTTACATTGTGTTGTTTAAGTGTTCCCTTTATTTTTTTGAGCAGTATATACAGTGGGGGAAAAAAGTATTTAGTCAGCCACCAATTGTGCAAGTTCTCCCACTTAAAAAGATGAGAGAGGCCTGTAATTTTCATCATAGGTACACGTCAACTATGACAGACAAAATGAGAAGAAAAAAATCCTGAAAATCACATTGTAGGATTTTTTATGAATTTATTTGCAAATGATGGTGGAAAATAAGTATTTGGTCAATAACAAAAGTTTCTCAATACTTTGTTATATACCGTTTGTTGGCAATGACACAGGTCAAACGTTTTCTGTAAGTCTTCACAAGGTTTTCACACACTGTTGCTGGTATTTTGGCCCATTCCTCCATGCAGATCTCCTCTAGAGCAGTGATGTTTTGGGGCTGTCGCTGGGCAACACAGACTTTCAACTCCCTCCAAAGATTTTCTATGGGGTTGAGATCTGGAGACTGGCTAGGCCACTCCAGGACCTTGAAATGCTTCTTACGAAGCCACTCCTTCGTTGCCCGGGCGGTGTGTTTGGGATCATTGTCATGCTGAAAGACCCCGCCACGTTTTATCTTCAATGCCCTTGCTGATGGAAGGAGGTTTTCACTCAAAATCTCACGATACATGGCCCCATTCATTCTTTCCTTTACACGGATCAGTCGTCCTGGTCCCTTTGCAGAAAAACAGCCCCAAAGCATGATGTTTCCACCCCCATGCTTCACAGTAGGTATGGTGTTCTTTGGATGCAACTCAGCATTCTTTGTCCTCCAAACACGACGAGTTGAGATTTTACCAAAAAGTTATATTTTGGTTTCATCTGACCATATGACATTCTCCCAATCCTCTTCTGGATCATCCAAATGCACTCTAGCAAACTTCAGACGGGCCTGGACATGTACTGGCTTAAGCAGGGGGACACGTCTGGCACTGCAGGATTTGAGTCCCTGGCGGCGTAGTGTGTTACTGATGGTAGGCTTTGTTACTTTGGTCCCAGCTCTCTGCAGGTCATTCACTAGGTCCTCCCGTGTGGTTCTGGGATTTTTGCTCACCGTTCTTGTGATCATTTTGACCCCACGGGGTGAGATCTTGCGTGGAGCCCCAGATCGAGGGAGATTATCAGTGGTCTTGTATGTCTTCCATTTCCTAATAATTGCTCCCGCAATTTGTCTGTCATAGTTGACGTGTACCTATGATGAAAATTACAGGCCTCTCTCATCTTTTTAAGTGGGAGAACTTGCACAATTGGTGGCTGACT